TGCCCATGTATCACTTACCTGCCCATGTATCACATACCTGCCCATGTATCACATACCTGCCCATGTATCACATACCTGCTCATGTATCACATACCTGCACATGTATCACATACCTGCCCATGTATCACATACCTGCACATGTATCACATACCTGCACATGTATCACATACCTGCCCATGTATCACATACCTGCCCATGTATCACATACCTGCCCATGTATCACATACCTGCCCATGTATCACATACCTGCCCATGTATCACATACCTGCACATGTATCACATACCTGCACATGTATCACATACCTGCCCATGTATCACATACCTGCCCATGTATCACATACCTGCCCATGTATCACATACCTGCCCATGTATCACATACCTGCCCATGTATCACATACCTGCCCATGTATCATACCTGCCATGTATCACATACCTGCCATGTATCACATACCTGCACATGTATCACATACCTGCCCATGTATCACATACCTGCCCATGTATCACATACCTGCCCATGTATCACATACCTGCCCATGTATCATACCTGCCCATGTATCACATACCTGCCCATGTATCACATACCTGCACATGTATCACATACCTGCCCATGTATCACATACCTGCCCATGTATCACATACCTGCCCCTGTATCACATACCTGCCCATGTATCACATACCTGCCCATGTATCACATACCTGCACATGTATCACATACCTGCCCATGTATCACATACCTGCACATGTATCACATACCTGCCCATGTATCACATACCTGCCCCTGTATCACATACCTGCCCATGTATCACATACCTGCCCATGTATCACATACCTGCCCATGTATCACATACCTGCCCATGTATCACATACCTGCCCATGTATCACATACCTGCCCCTGTATCACATACCTGCCCATGTATCACATACCTGCACATGTATCACATACCTGCCCATGTATCACATACCTGCCCCTGTATCACATACCTGCCCATGTATCACATACCTGCCCATGTATCACATACCTGCCCATGTATCACATACCTGCCCATGTATCACATACCTGCCCATGTATCACATACCTGCCCATGTATCACATACCTGCACATGTATCACATACCTGCCCATGTATCACATACCTGCACCCACACTGCAGTGAGCGCTCGTTGCAAAATTCCATTGCTAAAATTTCTATGACCGCTTTTTTTGTGAGAGGGAAGATCAACATGGCAGATATTTCTGTCAGCATCCCCACTATCATATCCAAAACACGCCCCCTTACAAATCTAGAAAATTCCCATGACAGTTTCAGGGGAACACATAAGAGTCGTTTGGGGGGAATTAGAAGCCCAGTATCGGGGGGTACATAAATGTAGTTTCAGGGGAACACACAATAGCCGTTCTGGAGGAATTAGAAGCCCAATCTCCGGGGATATATAAATGCTGTTTCAGGGGAACTTATAACAACAGCTTCTGGGGGCGAGGGGACAATATAAAGGCCTTTCTCGGAGGACATATAGGAGCAATATCCGGGGGAACATACTAGTTTCAAGGAAGATGCATAAAACCAGTTTCAGGGGGATATGTGAAACTAGTTTCAGGGGGGTATTTGCAAGACTGACATTTTCCGTCACATCCCCTATATTAAATACCGATATATCTCTGTTTACAGTTTTAAATACCACAATTTTGTTTTAATAAAATACTGGTAAATATTACATTTCTGGAATTTGGATCGTCATTGAAAGGACATTTAATAACAATATCTCGCGACAAGAACATTATAAATCCCAAAAAGATTTTGATACATTAAATAACAGATTAAAAATTAAATTACGAATTTTAAGTATTTATTATTGCATATATTCCTCTCAAGAGTATATATATGTCGTGCCGAATAGGTAGAACTTGCGATCTTGGCTTAAATAGCAACACTCATCTTGCCATATAGGACAAGTGAAAATTTGTGTATGCAATAATTCGCCAAAATCATTCTGAACCTAACGAAAATAATATATATTCTCTGTGTTTGTTTAGTATTAAATTATTGTAAACAAATCTAAAATATATTTTGTTGGGTTAGGCTAAAATAAATTGCTCTTGTTATAATAAGGTTAGGTAAGTTTTCTAAGATTCTTTTGGAGCAAATTTAAATTTTTTTACATTAACATTAATGAAAAAAATATATCTTTAAACGTATAAGAGAAAATTTTAGGAAGGACTTAATTTTAAATGAGTTCTTGCTAATTGACCAGTTTTACATATTCGGCACGACATATATATATATATATATATATATATATATTATATATATATATAATATATATATATATATATATATATATATATATAATTGTAACCAAGAACGAGTGATATTGATCAATAACAATACTGCGCTAGCCAAGGATTCGAACCCATATTGTACTGGCCCGCTATTATGAGCGGCGAGAACCACATGACGCCGTAACCCACAGAACTACCCAGGTGCTTGGTTCTTGTAGTATTGGGCGGTCCTGTGGGTTAAAGCGTCATGTGGTGAAACTAGTTTCACCACATGACCACTGACCATGAACTTCGTTTTAAAGTCTATCGAAAACCAACCAACCAAAACGATCTTCTCCACTTCTACTCTCACCACGACAACAAAACTAAACTTGGTGTAATTATAGGCTTCTTCCTGCGCGCACTCAGAATCTGCAGCAATGAGTTCCTTGAGGAAGAATGCACTATAATTGAACAAGTATTTTCTAAACTCCACTATCCTCGTCACTTCATCAGAGACTGCAGACGGCGGGCATTAAACATCTTCAACACACCCAGAGAAGACACTGCCGAGAAGAGATACATAGTCCTCCCCACCAACTCCATTGCCAAACATGTTTCCAACATCTTTTCCAATACATCATTCCAAGTATCTACCTCCACAACCACGACCATCAAGGACATCACCAGTAGTAGACAGGACAAGCTTCCATCCTCTGCAGGGGTATACATAATCCCTTGTAATGACTGCAACAAATTATACGTGGGCGAAACATCAAGAGACCTCCAAACACGTATTTCAGAACACCAATATGCAAGCAGGACTGACGATACAAGGAATGCCTGTGTACAACATCACAATTCACACAACCATTTAATTAACTACAGAAACTCAAGACTTATAGCCACAGAAGACAACACCCAATACCGAAGAATCCTGGAATCATCGCTTATCTCTATAACCAACAATTTCAACCAGAACAACGGCTTCTATAACATAGCTGAACCACTCGCCAAGAAACTTCTTCATCGCTATCCCACATAAGAACACAGAACACTGCAGAAGGTCTACTCACAACTTGTCCAATACCCCTGCCAAGCTACCCAAGACTCATAACCCCACCCGGTAGATCATCAGATGCAGCATTCTCCACCTGACCTCAACATTCTGAACCTGACTATAAATACTCCCGTACCTTCAACTCCAGGTAGATCTGTGCGTGACTTGAAAAAGCCCATTGTGTGAGTGAAACGTTGTCAACAAAGGATCACATTAAACTGCATATGTGTTTATGTTTCCATGTGGTTCTCACTCACAGTAGCGGCCAGTACAACATGGGTTCGAATCCTTGGCTAGCGCAGTGTTGTTATTGATATATATATATATATATATATATATATATATAATATATATATATATTATATAATATATATATATATATATATGACACACACACTCACTCTCTATATTTCTTTATTTTCTTTAAAGAAACTTTGACTTACCGGGAAAATGGGCTTAGTGGAAGGTTTTAAAACTTAACACCACAATTTTTACGCCATTAAGAAAGTTGGAGGTTGGCTAAATTCATCTTTCATAATCAAAGTGTGAAAGCTTTATACCCAGACAGCATTTTTTTCACAGTGATGAATATTTTAAAAGCTCTTAAGCGAGTGTGTTTTTTTTTCAATCTCTGCTAATAAATTCGGTCCTAACAACCTTGTAAATCACCCCTATATACAACTATTATAAGAGGTGTGTAAACTGCTCCTTGAAGTCGACATCAGGAGCCGCATAAATTATATTTGCTTCGACTGTAGGGGTGACTGTGTGAGGTATTAATGGTGTGGTAAGGGTAGCATGAGTACACGAAAAGAGAACCCATTAAATGTAAAGGGACCACGACTTAACGCCCTACCTTGATACTCAAGGGGTACTAGAGCCTGGTCGTTCAGGTCAGCAAGTATAGGTAACCTACAGATAACCCACGGCCCGGTCCCAGACCAAGGTTCCCGTTAATGTGATCTGAAGAGAAGTAATTTATCAAATTCCTCTTGAAGACTGCAAGAAACCTGTTGGTTATCTACTTACGAATGAAGGGAAGGTTCTAAGAAGCTCTGGTTCCTCTACACTTACTGAGTTATCTCATAGCGTATTCACTACACCTTTGCTTTTCACTGGGGGTAATTTCCACTGTATGATGAGCCTCACTCCTTGCAAATTTAACAAAAGTCCGTCTAACATTAATCTACTGTAAATGTATTCATGTTTCTCTCTCTCTCTTGTTCTCCTAAGAGTACGATTTTGTTTTAAGATTTCTTAATTCACAGTAGCTGTTTGGCGGAACTGATACTGTGAGTGGAAGTTATTTGTATATTATCTAAATCTGACATTTTGTGTTCATTACAAGTGCCTCTCAATGAACAGTAATAATTTAGACTGGAGAGTACAAATGCTTGAAGAACATCGTCACTGGTTTAGTCTAGAGAGTACAAGTGTCATGAAGAACATTGTCACTAGCTTTCAATATTACCTATGCGTGTTCTTGTGGAAATATAAACACATATGCAGTATAATGTGATCCTTTATTGGCAACGTTTCACCCACACAGTGGGCTTTTTCAAGTCACACTGAAAAAGTCACACACAAAGCCCACTGTGTGGGTGAAACGTTGCCAATAAAGGATCACATTATACTGCATATGTGTTTATATTTGCACTGTGTCGGTATTTGATACCATTTATTTCCATCTATGCGTGTTCTTATTATCCAGTCTATCAGATTTTGTGCAGTTGTAAGACTAACATTAGTGTGTTCTTTGAATGCATTTTTACACACGTTGCTTCACATTTATTGCAGTTTATCCCATTCTATGTAGTGGTAATTCTGTGTCCCTTTAATTTCTCCATGACGGAGTAACAGAAATTTGTCGTGAACTCGTCTCTTTTCTGTTGACATTTAAAGACTTAAATTGCACTTTCAAGATTTTCTGTGTCTGTCAGACATGTGAATGAGAAAGCGATCTGAGGCGAGCACTGTTCTCATCTGACCAGTAAATCTGACCAGTAAATCTGACCAGTAAATCTTTGCTTTCACTTTATTGATTATTACTCTTTGGGTCCGGTTTTTTACAAAACTGAAGATAAATCAGTCTATTCTGTTTTTCATTCAATCATTTTGCACGATCCTACACTTGTTGAAGACTTCAGGAAAATCAGCATTTTGTTATCCTCCAGTGCATCTAAGACCATGTTGTCATGGTAACTGCTGTTTGAATAAAAGATTTAGGAACCTGTTACCCTTGTCTATATAATAATAATCTTTATTTCTACAAGAACATGGTATACAGACTATAGATAACATTGTACTATATAGAAAGCCGCTTGTTATGTAGAACATTTAGGTGAAATTAGGTCAGTTTTGTCCCAGGATACGACCCACACCAGTCGACTAACACCCAGGTACCTATTTTACTGATGGGTGAACATTGAACAGTAGGTGTATTAAGGAAACACGTCTAATGCTTCGATCCAAACCGGGGATCGATGCCCCGAACCACTGCGTGAGCTGAGTCCGCTGACGATTGAGCTACGGGATACACTGGCTCCCTCACTCTTTTGTTAGTCTGACTTTGTAAGTGGTTCATGTTGGACCGTAACGTCGTGGTAAGTTCCTCTCTGTGTCTTACCTGTTACCTGTGTCATACCTGTGACCTGTGGCTTACCTGTAACCTGGGCCATAACTGTGACCTGTGGCTTACCTGTGACCTGTCTTACATGTGACCAGCGACTTACCTGTGACCTGTGGCTTACCTGTGACCTGTGTCATACCTGTGACCTGTGGCTTACCTGTGACTTACCTGTGCCATACTTGTGACTTGTGGCTTACCTGTGACCTGTGTCTTACCTGTGACCTCTGTGACCTGTGTCTTACCTGTGACCTCTGTGACCTGTGTCTTACCTGTGACCTGTGTCTTACCTGTGACCAGTGACTTACCTGTGACCTGTGTCTTACCTGTGACCTGCACCTTACCTGTGGCTGATTTCGATACCTTCCCCCCCGCCGTTGACCTGGTCAATCTCTCCTTCAACCTTCAATGTGTTTTTTCAATTTATTAATATTGGTAAACAATAATTAAAACCTATCAGTTAAAGGATAAATCATCGCAGTTTTCATCTCGGATGTACCTATTTAAAATGCCTGATCAACCAGGCTATGATGGCTGTGTAACAGAAGAGTTATGCTACAGCCCCGCCAGCAGCAACAGTCTAGTTGACCAGGCTGAAGAACCTCGAAATCAGCATAAAAATAAGCATCATGAACCATATCATGGTTATCGGTTAGCTGGACTTGAGTCCTGGAGGGCGGGATGGAGATATGTTGCAGTTTTTGAACAGTAGTGTCGGCACGCATCTGCCAAGACAGTGATGGAGTGAGTGATGATGAAAGTGTTTTTTTCTTTCTTTAAAGGGTCATCGTGGCTCTGTGGGAAACGGCGTACACGTTAATAAAATAAATAAATAAAAAATGAAACATTAATTAGCATCATAACAATGTTCACTTCATCATCATCATCAACGTCATCGTCATCATCGTCATCGTCTTCATCATCGTCATCGTCATCGTCATCATCATCATCATCGTCATCATCATCGTCATCATCATCGTCACCATCATCATCATCATCATCACCATCATCACCATCATCACCATCATCACCATCATCACCATCATCACCATCATCACCATCATCACCATCATCACCATCATCACCATCATCACCATCATCACCATCATCACCATCATCATCACCATCATCACCATCATCATCACCATCATCACCATCACCATCACCATCATCACCATCACCATCACCATCATCACCATCATCATCACCATCATCACCATCATCGTCATCATCACCATCACCATCATCACCATCATCACCATCACCATCATCACCATCATCATCACCATCATCACCATCATCATCACCATCATCGTCATCATCACCATCACCATCACCATCACCATCACCATCATCATCATCAATAATAAACGCTCAGGGCAGGAGCTAAGGTCTTCAGTAAACGTCTGGCTAAAATCATGCATTTCTACCGTAATGTTAAGCAGGTTTATGCTAAGGGTGTGTGCCCCAAATATCTATACCCCTCCCCTTCCCCAAACACCCCCTCCCAAACCCCTTCCCCTCCCCTCTCTCCCTCCCCTCCCCTCCCCTCTCCTCCTCCTCTCTCCCCTCCCTCCCACACCACCACCTACCACCCTTCCCCTGGTTACCTCTATCCACATCCCTGCCTGCAGGAAAAATGGTCAGACTTCTTATAACTTCGAAACGAAAAGAAAAAGTTGCCAGACTCTGACGATGCAAAATGGAATTTTTTTTTCTATTAAAGAAAATTGGATACATCAGCAGTGTGTTGCTACACCACTCTGTATGATAGTTACATTGTGTAACACCAGCAGTGTGTTACTACACCACTCTGTATGATAGTTACATTGTGTAACACCAGCAGTGTGTTGCTACACCACTCTGTATGATAGTTACATTGTGTAACACCAGCAGTGTGTTACTACACCACTCTGTATGATAGTTACATTGTGTAACACCAGCAGTGTGCTGCTACACTATTCTTTATGATAGTTACATTGTGGGAACAAAAGCTAGCTATGTTTCACTGTCATATTCCATCACACAGGATGGGTTACATACATGAACTACTGAAATGTGTCAGCCTGAGCTGGGAGACTTTAGTACTGTGATGAGGATATCGTCAAACATTCCACTATGTTCAGTAACCAAGGTAGCCTCAGAGGTTTCATTAAGGGAGTCTCTCAGTGTTTTATAAAGATACCTCAGTCTACTCAGAGCGGGGTAGCAGAAAATAAATAAAGAGAATGGGAGGGAGATTTTGGACTCCATAACATATCCAAGAGTACAAATACCTAGACATAATGTAATGTCATTGTAATATGTGCTCGACATGACAACAACATACACTGGAAGTCGCTCACAACACCCACAGCTCTGTCATGTCTCAAATGGAAGAACTTAAGGTTCATCTCTTGTATAAAAGCAACTTAAGCATTTATTTATTTAGAAATTTTCATATCACAAGTTCAATGAAGACTCGATGGAATCTATTT